CTGAGACCCCCTGCTCTAGGGGAAGAAAACGGAGCCAACCCGAGGTCGCAGGTGCCCTGCCTGCAGCTATCAGTAGCTCCGGTGTTCGCTGAGCGGGGGTCCGTGCCCGCAGGCAGGGGGGGGGGGGGGGCGCGGTGCCGCAGCAGCCTTCCTGCCCTCGGCTCTCCTGGCTCTTCACCCCTCCGCCTGCCCTCACCGTCCTCCCGCCTGCTTCCCGCCTGCCCTGAGGCTCCTTACATTCCGTCGGCTCCCCCTCGGGCCGGCTTCGCAGATTCCGGGCCTTTGTCTCTAACGGTTCCTTCCTCTTGCCTCATGGAGAACCGCTTTCAGAGGGTGGTCCCGTGCACTCGTCCTCTTTGTGGTCCCCAAGCCTGGCTCTCCCCTGGCTCCCCTCGTTCATCCTTTATACATTTACGGCACCTCGTTTTACTTGCCCTCTTGTCCAAGGCATATCTGAGCCCATACAGGTGCTGTAAACATGACCAAGAACAGCCCATTCGAAACGCGTATAGCCTCTGAGCGCCTCACGGTCATTTCGTTAAAGTTTGGGGTGACTGTTTTTGATACCTACTTTACCACCAAGTTGTCTCATTGCCCAAGTACCCGCCTGTAGGGCCAGGAACCTGGACGTCTCAGGCCCCAGATCCACCTGTTGCCTTGCCGGAGGCAGAGTCGGGTGTGCGTTCGCTGGGCGCGGTGGGAGCGCCGCTGTCAGACCTGGCACCGGTCCTAAGAGAGCTTGTCTGGAGGGTGGGAGCTTTGCCCATCCACTTCCCCTCGGCCACATGACTTACCAAGGCCCGGTTGCTTTCAGTCCCACCATCTATTCAACCAGCAGTTCCTACAGATTCACCAAATTCCCACACTATCTGTACCCACTAGGTCTCAGCTTTTTTTAAAAAAATCTTCACCCGAGGATATTTTTTCCATTGATTTCTAGAGAGTGGAGGGGAGGGAGGGGAAGAGAAACATCCGCATGAGACGCATAGATTGCCTCCCACATGCACCCCTACCAAGGCTGGGGAACCTGCAACCAAGGTAGGAGGTACACGCCCTTGACCGGGAATTGAACCCACAACCCGTCAGTCCGCAGGCGCACACCACCAGCTAGGGCAGGTCTCAGTTCTTAATAGCTGTGGGTAGTCTGATTTTAAAGTGTATTGGAGCCCTGGCTGGTGTGCGGCTTGGTTGCGTGTTGTCCCGTGCACTGATTCGGATCCTGTTGGGATGCGTACGGGAGGCAACTGATCAATGTTTCTCTTCTTCTTTTAAAGTCAATAAATATTTTTAAATGTATAGGAAAACTTTACTGATACTAGGTATTTTATCCCTTATATTAGTCTCTTCCATAATGAAATAGCTGTAAATATTTATCTATAAAAGATGATTTTTAAAAACCCAACCTGTTATCTCAGTAAACCCAACCACAATACCATTTTACACCTAAAAAAGACCATTTCATTAATATCAAATATCCAGCGTTCAAATTTCCGTAATGTCAATTTAAAATTTTTTGAATCATGATCCAGATGGGATCCAAACATTGCATTGAGTCTCTTAACTCTCCTTTAACCTATAGCTTCATGCTCCATCTGTATCTTGTTTTATTGAAGCAACCAGATCCCTTTCCCTGGACTTTTCTTTGAATATTGCTGATTGGACTCCCACTGTATTTTTTAACATGTTTCTCTATTTTCATTTTTATTTAGTGATTTGAGAGAGGAAGGGGGAGAGAGACAATTTGTTGTTCCACTTAGTTATGCATTCATTAGTTGATTCTTATATGCCCTGAGTGGGGATTGAACCTGCAACCTTGGCATATTGGGACAGTACTCTAACCAACTGAGCTATAAGGCCAGGGTTATATTTTCTTATTTCCTATGAATTGGTAGTTTTATCTACAGAGTCGATTCAGTTAGATTTGGGGCAATGCCTTACACAGGGTGTTAGTGTTTTAAAAATTGGGCTCTGGCTGGGTGGCTTAGTCAGTTTGGAGCGTCATCCTGTACACCAAAAGGTTGTGGGTTCCATGCCTGGTCAGGGCACACATCTAGGTTGTGGTTTTGATCCCGTCGGGACACGTATAGGAGGTGGCTGATTGACGTTTCTCTCTTGCATCAATGTTTCTGTCTCTCTCTAAAAATCAATAAAAACATATCCTCAGGCGAGGATTTTAAAAAAAGTAATTGAAAAGAGTTCACACGTTTAGAAGTCCCTATAAAATAATAATTGCATTTTGTTATATATTTATTGAAGACAATCATTTACAGTTTATAAAAAAAATATTGGCCTTCTATACACAAAAATTTCCTGATAATGGTAATGAAAACCAGCTACTCCCACCCCCCTTGTGTCCACACCAATATTCAATCTAGATTGGTTTAATCTTGAAGTGTAATCCAATAAGACTGAAGACCAAACACTTCAGGTCCTGGACAAGATAATAAAATACTCGTAAGCCTTCTGGGTCCCTAAAATGCAAAAGGAAAAAAATGTTTAAAAAGCAGAGACAACTGGCAAGATAATAACACTTAACGCAAATTATGTACCAAGGCATTACTCATAAAGGTATTTACAGAATTAAAGCTTTGAAAACGGAGTTCAAAAAGGGCGGAAAAGGCTACATGCTACATATTAAAACGGAATATGAGGTCATTTAAAATGTTAAGGTTTTAAAAATTGGGGAAATGTTTATATTAAGTGAAAAAAATCATTAAAATAACATTATTGGTCTAAATATTTTTCGGTGCCTTTAAAACTATATTTTTTAATGCTCAGAAAAAAGATAAGAAATACTTTAAGCCAGTGGTCACCAACCGGTGGTCCTCGGATCACTGGTGGTCCGTGAGGTCCAAAAGATTGGGGACTGCTGCTTTAAGCCCAGCTGGCATGGCTCAGTGGTTGAGCATCAGCCTATGAACCAGAAGGTCACGGGTTCAATTTCCAGTCAGGGCACATGCCCAGGTTGCAGGCTCCATGCCCAGTGTGCGACTTGTAGGAGGCAGCCAAACATTGATTCTCTCTCATCATTGATGTTTCTATCTCTCTCTCCCTCTTCCTTCCTCTCTGAAATCCATAAAAATATATTTAAAAAATACTTTACAATATTAATGGTTGTCTAATTGACAGGTTTATGGGTGATTTTCCCCTTACATTTTTAGGTTTCCTTTATTTTCCATAATGAGCATGTATAAGTTTCAGAATTAGGAAAACTTTTCTTAAGAAGTAGTACTAGTCAGGATCAAGAGGCTGAAGGTTCCTACAGCATAACTGGCTAAGAATAGAGACTGTCCAAAGGAAGACAATTATGCCCACCATGTACTAAAAGTGAGCCATGTCTAATCCCAAATGCCCAAAACACAGGAGCCAAAGAGATTTTCAAATTCTGAGGACTCCGCAGCATACTTTTTTTTTCGCAGCATACTTTATAATTTGCCCTCCTGACATGAATTTTTAAATTTATATTCCAAATAATTTCAAGTTCCACCCAAATCAGACTTTAAGATGTGCTAGTCTGAATGACTAACATCAAGGAAGGTAGTTAGACTTAACAACTCTACAGTTTATCTTAAGCACTTGTATTGGCATATTTCATTTTTCTGTTCTGGACAGATTCTTACCCACACTAGCTGCTCCAATGGCATTACTGTGTGTGTCACTGAGAAGCTCTTATTAGTAACTAGAGGCCCGATGCACAAAATTCGTGCAAGGGACTCAGCCCTTGCAGCCCCAGCTTCGTCCGAAGGTCATTTGGCTGCCCAGTCTAATTAGCATATTACACTTTTATGCTAATTAGACCACACGGCCAAACAACCTTCCAGACGAAGCCGTCATGGCGGGGATGATCAGGCAGGCAGAGGGGTTAGGGGCGATCAGGCAGGCGAGCAGAGTGGTTAGGAGCCAGCAGTCCCAGATTGTGAGAGGGTGCAGGTCGGGCTGAGGGAATCCCCCGCCGCCCCCCCCCCCCTGCACAAATTTTGTGCACCGAGCCTCTAGTTATAGATAACTGGACAAAAGGTCATAAGCAATAGGAGCAAGTCTTGAAAATAGTTTAGAGCCTCTCTCCATCTGTACCGGATCTTACCAAATGGTCCCAATTTGTTTAAGGGTTTCATATCAATCTGCTGCAAAACAGACACATCTGGACATACAGATCATGTACACTTACTTGGATTGATTGACATCAATGAGGGAACCAATTTTTGATGTTGTGAAAGAAATGTGTTCATCTCCAATGACGATTTCAAGCTCCTGGAAACATTTAAAAATGTTTAAAATCAAGCCAAATTGGATTGTTCATTAAGCACACAGGAGGTTCATCTGCCAAATCACACAAACTCTATCTACTACACATAAACAAGACCAATTCCCTCTGAGCACTAAATTGTGCTAGGTACTAGAAGCAAAGAGATAAATACTCGCTTGAGTAGCTCATATTTTTAGAGGAAGTTGTGTTGGTAATTTGGAAGAAATTACATAATTGTTTTGTATATGTGTTTTTGTTGTTAACAGTGTAGAGTAACATGTATGTTTTATAAATACCAAGAATCTTAACTTTTCTGGGCAACATGGGACAATTTTGGACAATGATAAATGCTATGAAGACGCTCAAACATCTTTTTTTAAATGACGGGGAGAGGTGTTTTCTTTCTTTATTTATTTGGATTCTGTCCCTTAATAATTTTCAGAGGAAAGCCATGAAGTGGCGTCTGGCTCAGTAGAGACATTGATCAAAGATTTGTAAAA